GATAGTTTAAAAGTTCGAGACGAAGTCGAGAACTTAAAACGATCGAGAGCTGCAAAACCATTTCGGTCCGTGGTACGAATGCTATTTTTCACTACACTATACCCTATTACCAATATTCACCCCAATAATAATGCACACTGATAGTCAACAAAATTACAACTTTAAGGTAATGTAAAGAAATAATTTGAGGAATCAGCAAAAATAATAATAAATGGTTGCTAGGCAGCGGTGACAATAAAACAATTCAATTGTGTATTTCATATGCATTCATGTTTTAAGAAAGTAAGCGGACAGCTGATTTTGTGGCCCTAGGGATGTAAAAACCTGCTCGGTCCCCAAATGACGATGACAGCTGGTATGGCCAGCAAAACGTAACTTTCAGCCACCAATTGACGGATGTAAAACAGCTAAAAACTTCATAGTGTGGCGAGAAAAATATTTTTGGAATTCGGCCCCCTGAAAGATTGGCGCTCTGTGCTATTAGACCCGATAGTCTAATATTACTATACCACGGTAGGTACGTCTGTTTTATTATAAGACCAGTCGGTATATACAAAGTAGGGCTCGGGTATTTTTGATTGTTAAAGAGTTAGGTATTGCTCACAGTTCTCTTGACTAAATAACTGGCCAACTGCTGGACGTTTCGATTCATCCAATAAATATATTCATTTTTGCTTATACCAATCAATATTTCAAGATATCCTAATATCAACTCAAAATAATTTCATTGCAAAGAAAACAAATAATAGAGAAAATACAATTTTAAAAAGGGGAATGGTCCCCCAAAAAGCCTTTGCGTGAGGAACGTGTTGACCAACCCTATTAGACACAAAGGCTTTTATGTTTATTGACAAAAAATATCTTCAAATACGATTCAACTGTTCTGCCCGACACTGAGAGGATTCCTCAGGCTATCTTACACTACCAAGTGATTAAATATTGCCCTCGTGAATTAAATATAGAGTATATTTAAAATCCACCATTAGTCAAATCAGATTAGAAATCTAAAAATAAAAGCAAATTAAATGCCACTACGACATATGCTACACGGGTCGCGCGCCACATTCATCATGTTAATGGCTGCGATATTGCCGGTTGGCGAAAACTACTCGGCCGAAAGCAAGACCATCACAACTTCAACGATCTCGTCTGTACTCGTCCAACTGTCTGGGACCTATCAGTCGAGCACAGGACCAGTATAACTCTAACGATCTTGTCTTTTCTTGATGAACTGTCAGGAATCTATCAGTCAAGGAGAGGACTATCATAACTTCAACGATCTCGCCTGTACTCGTCCAACTGTTAAGGGTCTATCAGTCGAGGACAGGACCAGTATAACTCTAACGATCTTGTCTTTTCTTGACGAACTGTCAGGAATCTATCAGTCAAGGAGAGGACTATCATAACTTCAACGATCTCGCCTGTACTCGTCCAACTGTTAGGGGTCTATCAGTCGAGGACAGGACCAGTATAACTCTAACGATCTTGTCTTTTCTTGACGAACTGTCAGGAATCTATCAGTCAAGGAGAGGACTATCATAACTTCATTGATCTCGCCTGTACTCGTCCAACTGTTAGGGGTCTATCAGTCGAGGACAGGACCAGTATAACTCTAACGATCTTGTCTTTTCTTGACGAACTGTCAGGAATCTATCAGTCGAGGACAGGACCATCTTAACTTCAACGATCTCGTCTGTACTCGTCCAACTGTTAGGGATCTATCAGTCGAGCACAGGACCAGTATAACTCTAACGATCTTGTCTTTTCTTGACGAACTGTCAGGAATCTATCAGTCGAGGACAGGACCATCTTAACTTCAACGATCTCGTCTGTACTCGTCCAACTGTTAGGGATCTATCAGTCGAGCACAGGACCAGTATAACTCTAACGATCTTGTCTTTTCTTGACGAACTGTCAGGAATCTATCAGTCGAGGACAGGACTATTATAACTTCAACGATCTTGTCTGTTCTTGACGAACTGTCAGGAATCTATCAGTCGAGGACAGGACCATCTTAACTTCAACGATCTCGCCTGTACTCGTCCAACTGCTAGGGATCTATCAGTCGAGCACAGGACCAGTATAACTCTAACGATCTTGTCTTTTCTTGACGAACTGTCAGGAATCTATCAGTCGAGGACAGGACTATTATAACTTCAACGATCTTGTCTGTTCTTGACGAACTGTCAGGAATCTATCAGTCGAGGACAGGACTATTATAACTTCAACGATCTTGTCTTTTCTTGACGAACTGTCAGGAATCTATCAGTCGAGGACAGGACCATCTTAACTTCAACGATCTCGTCTGTACTCGTCCAACTGTTAGGGATCTATCAGTCGAGCACAGGACCAGTATAACTCTAACGATCTTGTCTTTTCTTGACGAACTGTCAGGAATCTATCAGTCGAGGACAGGACTATTATAACTTCAACGATCTTGTCTGTTCTTGACGAACTGTCAGGAATCTATCAGTCGAGGACAGGACCATCTTAACTTCAACGATCTCGCCTGTACTCGTCCAACTGCTAGGGATCTATCAGTCGAGCACAGGACCAGTATAACTCTAACGATCTTGTCTTTTCTTGACGAACTGTCAGGAATCTATCAGTCGAGGACAGGACTATTATAACTTCAACGATCTTGTCTGTTCTTGACGAACTGTCAGGAATCTATCAGTCGAGGACAGGACTATTATAACTTCAACGATCTTGTCTTTTCTTGACGAACTGTCAGGAATCTATCAGTCGAGGACAGGACCATCTTAACTTCAACGATCTCGTCTGTACTCGTCCAACTGTTAGGGATCTATCAGTCGAGCACAGGACCAGTATAACTCTAACGATCTTGTCTTTTCCTGACGAACTGTCAGGAATCTATCAGTCGAGGACAGGACTATTATAACTTCAACGATCTTGTCTGTTCTTGACAAACTGCTAGGAATCTATTGGTCGAGGACAGGACCATCATAACTTCAACGATCTCGTCTGTACTCGTCCAACTGCTAGGGATCTATCAGTCGAGCACAGGACCAGTATAACTCTAACGATCTTGTCTTTTCCTGACGAACTGTCAGGAATCTATCAGTCGAGGACAGGACTATTATAACTTCAACGATCTTGTCTGTTCTTGACAAACTGCTAGGAATCTATTGGTCGAGGACAGGACCATCATAACTTCAACGATCTCGCCTGTACTCGTCCAACTGCTAGGGATCTATCAGTCGAGCACAGGACCAGTATAACTCTAACGATCTTGTCTTTTCTTGACAAACTGCTAGGAATCTATTGGTCGAGCACAGGACCATCAAACCTCAACGATCTCGTATTTTCTTGACGAACTGTCAGGAATCTATCAGTCGAGCACAGATACACAATAACTTCAAATATCTTGTCTGTACTCAGTGTTAGGGACCTATCAGTCGAACTACTAGGTCGACCTTTAGGTTCTCTAAAAACTGTCAGAATTTTATCAGTTGAGCACCGGACCATCATAGCTACAACGATCTCGTATGTTCTTGACAAACAATCAGAAATCTATCAGTCGAGCACAGAAACACAATAACTTCAACTATCTTGTCTGTACTCGATAAAGTGTACTGACAAACAGAAGAGGACCTCGTGGAGGTTACAAAACTGCAGACAACGATTTTAAATGTAAATAATTATATACATAAATATTAATTTAAATTTAAATCAACCTATGCCATGCGTGTATTAATCTCAACTATGCATTGAAGTATCTGCGAAATAACGAAATAATGGAAGGATTCAATGAAGTACATTGATATTAAAAATAGGTATATAACATAAAGGATCCTTAATGGCTAAGGTACTTCAATCAAAACTCCTTGGTACGTCACCGGGTGGTGGCAAAGGTAAGTTATTGCTCACATGTTATTACCATCAATTGCCGTAAAGTTATACTTGGTAGCGTGGAATAAGCTAGTGTCGCGTATTTATGGTATTGCTCAACATAAATCTTATTTTATACTACCCAGGTGGTGTGGTAGTTGTACTTTAAATGATGTACTTAGCTAATAGCATTGAGTATACGTGTATACTCAATGCTAATAGACAATACACTAAGACTAGAAATATAGTATTCATAGCCCATTGTGTGCGTGTGAGTGTATAAAAAATACATCAAGTGTACACTTTTCATGAATACACACATACACATGTGAGTATATTTTTCTGAAATGGTGTTGTGTGGCCTGGCGTCTACACATGTTTTATAAAGTTGGTTTCCCATTTTATTTTAATTATGTTTTTAACCAAATTTACCCCATAAAGTTCATAGGCCTAAGTTAACAGAAAATTCTTATGTTCTAATAAAAGGAATCTACCCTTTCGAAAATAATTCCAATAAATCTGTTTATTAATTCTAATAAAATTGGACTGCTCACATTTCAATAACATTGCTATAAAAGTTGTAAAAAAATAATAAAAATATCGCAAAGTAAATTAATAATAGAAGGTCAATACACATATTGTAGATATAAAATACCATGTTATAAAGCTACTGATATAATGTATCAATAATAATCATTTAGGTATTCCTGCATACAGGCTACTTAGCATTTTTTTTAAATTCTTTTAGGACATTGTTCAGAAAATGCCTTTTCATGCCCACATTATTTTAAATACGTTTACGACGGGGCAGGTTGGTGAGGGGTTTGGGAGGGGGAGGAGAGATCTGTCAAAAAAGCATAGACAAAAAGAATAAAGGCACCCCTTTCTCAGTCATTAGCCACTGGTCTATAATTTGTATCCAGTATGATAATTTTGTATGATCAGATGTTCAATGTGTTTACGATTGAGTGAATATTTGACTTGTTTATTTTAAAGTTTAACATTTTAGGTTACTTAGGTTAGAAATGCTACGGTTCTACTTTAAAAGAATATTAATTGTTCTTTTTACCATTACAATCCTAATATTTGCATGCATTTATTTATTTGCATGTAATATTTCTGTGAAACACACAGCTATAAATCATGTAATGCCATTTCCTGTAAATCGATCAAAATATATATTTAAATCTTCGAAATGCAAAATTTTAAATCTAAACCCGTTTGACATATCGATTATTAAATTCGTCCAGAAGAGCGAGCGGTCTGTGTGCGCGGTCCACCCTCCATTGACTACAGTCACCTTTAATTCCTCCACTGAAAAGCACGTCCTGGAAGTGAATAAATCTGCCATTCAATACTACACAAATTCATCTCGTATTCAGTGTTGTGTAAAGAGGTTGAAAGAAGACATTTTGAGACTTTTCTTCAGTCCCTGTCGACTGTTCCATAACGTTTTTGAGATGGATTCAGAAAGCCAGTTCATTTTTGTTTTTTGTCTCGACGATAATAAAACGATTGTATACCAAAACATGCACGCAGGGGTGGTAAAGGTAGATAGGTTTACTGAAGATAGAAAGAGGGATCCGAACAGTTTAAATGTCATATTATTAGGAATAGATTCGATGTCCAGGTTAAATTTTTACCGAACTATGCCAAAAACAGTATCCTACCTTCATACTCATGGCTGGGTCGAAATGAAAGGGTACAACAAAGTCGCTGATAATACATTGCCTAACATGATGGCTTTTCTGTCAGGTCTCCCATTAAATATCTTAAGAAGATCACAAACACTCGATTTCGACAACATGCCTTTCATCTGGAAAGAGTTCTCCAAAGCTGGGTATGTGACAGCCTACGCAGAGGATCAACCCTTGGTGTCTACGTTCCATTGTCACCTCAACGGCTTCAAGCGCCTCCCCACTGATCACTACTTTAGAGACTACATATACGTTGGCGAGATGTTGCTCATGGGCAGAGGAAGGCCTCCAGGCTGCATTGGATACAAACTGGCTTCTGAACACCTGTTTGACTACTTGGTAGACTTTGTAACAGTTTACAAAAAAGATCCATTTTTCGGGTTGTTTTGGTTGAATCAAATTAGCCACAACGACTTAAACCGCGCGTCCGGAGAGGACGACACTGTGTTACAGCTGATGTCTAGGTTGGTGGAGACAGGAGTGATGAACACGACAATGGTCGCACTGCTCAGCGACCACGGGTTGAGAGTGGGGGACTTCAGGAGAAGTATTCACGGTTGGTACGAAGACCGCTTGCCATTACTATTCATCTCTGTACCAGAATGGTACAAAACTCAAAACGAAGTTCATTTTTCCAGCTTGCTGTTAAACTCCGGCAGGTTGACATCGCCCTACGACCTGTACCTGACTATGAAGTACGTGTTGTATGGCAGGAGGTCCACAGTCGCCGCTGGCTGCAAGTCATGTTTTAGTCTGTTTTCCCCGGTACCAGCCGACAGGTCCTGCGCTGAGGCAGGCATCTCCTCCCACTGGTGCACGTGTTTCCCAACATTCGATGTTCCACACGACCCGTCCTTGGCTCTCAGTGTCGTAGACGCTATCAACGGAAAATTGACTCTCGATCCAGATATAAACCCTCTTTTCCGATGTGCTGAGCTTAAGCTAAAGAAAGTAATGTACGTCAGAAGAAAATGTGGACTAATCTTTAGAGAACTTGTAGTCGGAGTTGCAACTGAGCCTGGCGGAGCTGAGTTTGAGGCTACAGTGACTGAGATGGACAGTGGCGTGACGGTTGAGGACTCAATCAGTAGACTGAACAGCTACGGCAACGAGAGCAGCTGCGCGTACAACCCCACGACAAAACTGTTCTGTCACTGTCAGTCTAGACACCCAGAAACCGTGAAATCAGATACTGTCAACCTAGAGACCCATACACTGTGAGCCTAGACACCCATAATGTGTGAACCCAGACACTTAGATAATGGGAATCCAAATAATGTGAACCTAGACAACCAGAAACTGTGAACCCACAAGTGAGCGATAGATAGATAGAGATAGATTGTTGTTGTTGTGTGTGATAGATTGTTGAGTGTGCATCAAGACCCGTAGAAACCGTGAACTTCGGTGAAAATTTCATTCCGTGAACTACTCGGATACAGTCGGTGCTAATGAGCGCTAGGGGTTACTTGCGGACGAAAAAGGTACCTCGCATAGATATTTTCTTATAACATACATTATTGTCATGATATGAGAAGTATTATAATAAAAAACCTAGTATTATAACACTTTTACTGTCTAATTATATTTTCTACATTTCTTAGATTCTGATGACATATGACGTCAGTAAACCTTACGTGGTCTCACAGTCATAGTTTCGTCGTCAAGGAAATACGGTTTTTGTTGTTAATTTTAAGCTGGATTTGTTATCTTACCTTAAGATCGTGATTCAATGTAACAAAATATTAGCTTACTCAGTTTACACCACGAATATGCATTAGTTTGTCATATATTTATGCAAAAAGATCTTACTTTAAAAGAAAGAAAATCACTGCTCGGGTATTTTTGTAACATAACGTGAGACTACTGAAATTAATCAAAGAGAGAATACTATTCCCGCTGTACCTCTTTTCACCCAAACTTCTGAATTCCATGATTTAACTTAATTTGACAGTAGTACAGTCAATTCTCCAGTAATTTTATTGATGCACTTTTAAGACTTCTTAAAATGTATTTTTGTGCCATAGTGTTCTCTGATGCGAACATTTAAACATTTTTTTATTCTGCTTTTGATCATTTCTGCCAAATAGCGCTGGTAATCCTAGAACGAGATTTGATAATTTTTCTAATAACCTTCAATGACCTAAGCAATTACAGGTTTACAGTATCTGTGAAGTTAACTCTAATGTACACAAAGGCAAGTGACGTTTCTCATATCTCTAGAAAAAGACATGCTTCCAGATTGGTAATAATTTCCTACATGAAAAATCCTAAATTCCGTTGATCGCTTCAACCTCTATCACTCGTTTACAACAAAATTAAGCTCGGACAATACCAACAACCAACACTGATAACAAGGAAACATCTGAGGCCACTGGGGCAGAGCCCTATTGGAATTTCTTGAAAACGCTCGTCATTGAACATCATCTTAAGCTCTGGAACTTAAGTGGGACCTACATACCAATTCTTTAGTTGTTACAGTACTATTTGAAGTTTTTGAGATAAAGTGATCAATGAGTAAGTCGGCGAGGAGTGGTATTTGTCTTTTGTACGTATAGTAGATAAATATATAGATATATAAAGATAGATTTGGATATAGGTATATTATCCATGGTATTTTTATCTAACAATGAGGAGTTTTATTGGGTTTTTAAATTAGATAATTATTGATGTTGTTTAAAATGGTACCAGTTGAGGTCATTTTAGGATCATAACCTGGTAATTCCAGCATAGAACATCATTACTTGTTGGTTAATTTGATTTGGTTCTTTGTTGATAAAACAACGTTCATAGTAAGCTAACTTTACTGCACGCAGTGGCCCGCTGTTTGGATTACCCGTAACTATGAACTTAGTAAATGTGATAAAAGTGTCAGAATCAAACAGCTAGAGCTATAACAATCCAAATTGAGGGTCTCAGTCAAGTTGTGCCAAACTCACAACCGTTACTCAATTAAGCCTGCAGTTGTAGTCGGTTTTAGTGCAATGCAACATTCAATCCTTCAATCTTCAATTTTCGTTTCCGTCTCTTATTTCCTCGTCTTTTTTTCTTTTAAACTTTAACAAAATAAGCCAACATTTCTTAAACACTTTTAGTAATATAAACACTTCCAGTCTTCACCAACTAAAACATACACGAAAAACTATATTTATGATGTTTCATTCTAAACATAAAGGAAATATAAATATTTTTTTCAATTATTGCCGTTTATAATTACTGCAGAATCGAGGTGAAGGGTCAATTCAGTACCTTGAGTTTAATTTGGTTTAATTTAAGTAAAAGTAAGCGTAAAAAAGGTTTTAAGGCTATCGCCTGACCAAAGTAGTTTTACAAGTGTTAATAGCAAGTGCTATTGTAGCTGTTCTAAAAGTACAAATTTAAATGTCGGTGTATTGAACGACACTTTACATAGTTATCCAGATCATAATATTTTTAGTATCATGACCCACTAACACCCTTGTTCAAACGTGATATTCCGTACAGACTTTACCCACACCTCTCTTTGTGGAGATCGTTGGTGGCGTGGGAGGGGAGAGGGTAGAGGTCAACTGTCAGTGGTCAGAGATATCAACACCTCAACCTCAACGTTATGCTGTGCCAACCGATATGTGTCAAAACATTGCTCCAGTCAGCTGCACCACAGAGCGCAGACCAGGCACTTTATCATACGATCTTTGTCGTGATACTACAAAGAATATAATATCTTTACAAAAAGTTGGCTGCAGCTGGTCCATATACATGAGACGTCTACTTCATATCTAATAGTCAATGATAATATTCAACTTCTAGTATGAATTGTACTAGATTTATAAATTTCTGTCAGCCCGCTACACACGGCCAATGCGGTGTGTTCACATCGAACTGACCATGTATGAGCAAAATTGATGTTAGCTCACATCCAAAAATTGTACTTACTCAACTTACTCAACTTACAATGGTGTTGTTGAAAGGCCAAGCTTAAAACTAGAGACATATGCGTGTTATTCACTGATTCAGACCAGACCCCAATTATGTGTACAAGAATGAGGTTACAAACCTACTATCCAGAATTTCAACTTGTCCAAATAAGCGTGAAAAAATCATCAACACTGTTTAAGCATTGCTGCATCAGACACTTTTCTAAGCTCTTCTTAAATTTAGGATAGGATACAGAACTGGAACTGAAAGCTGTTTAAAGAGACCTATACAGTACTTCTATACGTATATCTAGCGCATACGTATACGATAGGAAGATTTTTGGAATCTTACTCAGTCCAACAAAATCTTTGTCATTCATGTACTTATTGAGTGTTGTGTGCGTGCCTGTAACACTTGAGACTGAAAGTTTGGAGGTTTTGTTTGATAAAAAGTAAATGAGTGCAATATGTTCAGACATGCAAGGTAGTGTCATCAAAGTCCTTGTCTGTGGTATATTCCCAAACCGTGACGGTTGAGACCGGGTGACCAAGAGAAGCCTGTAAGTAGCCCAGTCCGCGACAGTCCCGGTTCCGACGCTCTGATTCCTCCAGTAACCGCCCAATCACCCATCACATCCATCGATGTCCTCATTTAACATTGCAATGTCACTTGACTGGTGAAACGCTGTCACATTGTTCTCGGCCAATGAAAGAGAATAATAATCTAAGTCGGTTAAGAAGCACGTGAGTATGATATTAGTAATTTTCATACAGCCCAAGGTACAATACAAACAAAAATCAAACAATCCCAACCAAAAATTACTTTTATGTTGCTTTGATACTGGAAATATATATATTGCTACAGTGTGGCACCACCTGGGACCACTGTGACTCTAGGAATTGCTGAGTCTTCCACCATTGATCTAAGTAGGATGTTGAGCTCTTCCACCCAGAAGGTGCAGATTGTATTTAACTTTTATTGTATATTGAGTCAAATAATTACTGTAGTTAGTAAAATAGGGGTCCCATGATCAATGGCATGGTTTTAACATGTTAAGACTAGTAAATAATATTAATAAACACAGAGATTAGTACAGTGTTGAGGTTGTAAGTTAATGTCGTATTTTCATCAATTGTTATTCAATGTTGTATTTTCCTATTCAATTACAATAATTTCACATGACGCAGTGTAGCGTGCCGGGAGGTAGTTATACTGTACTTGTACATGAGCAACTACAGGACAAAATATCAACATTTCTTAGCACTATAACATTTCAGATAGTTTTTACATAGGTTGTAGTAGAAGGGATATATTGCTAGTGTATACAACAAAAATGAGTATAACTATTATACAGATTATACAGAAGTATTGTAAATTCTTCATCTACTTTATCCTTCTTGGATTTTTACTTTGAAAAATGCCTTTTTTGGTAGATAAACATTAGGCTAGTGAAGAAGAGGAATCATTACGTATTGATAATAGTTCCCCTTAATGAGCTGGTTACACTGCTATACGTTGCACTTGAAAACTGTTTCAGCACGTCACAAAATCTCATCATTGACTTTTTACGACTGTGTATAATCGAAACCCACCTTTTTGTCAAGAATTTCTTAATTAGTATTGAATTTTGTTTGTTGATATCATATTGCTAACGTAATCGATTTTAGAGAACGGTTTGGTGACAATTATGTATACAAATCACATACAAATTCTTAGAACAAATCCAACAAGAAGAACTGTTTGTTTTGAAGAAGGTTGGTTAAATATATTATTCAATTAGGTTGATGACGGTTGATCAGACGGATGATCCAAAATAATGAAATACATATCCTACATGTAAAAAAATATGTATCCAACATAACAAATGTTAATGCTGCATTTAACCAAACAAATAAATAACCATTAAATAAATAATGATCTAGATTGTGAAAGAAAAAAATGATATTTCAGACTTTCGGACACGAACGACGAATATATCATACTCAAGGCAAGACACTAGTCGTGTAAGTACGATATTCGTTCTGTATATAAGGTGTTCTCTTTAAACTGCCATTTCCTAGATACCGTACTCCTAAACTTTCGGCCAGGTGGATTTTCAACCATGAGGCAGGTTAGCATTAATACACCTGAGTATCTGTGTTGACATCCTTGTGGCGTTGTAGAAGTTTAAAAAATATTATTATTTCAGCGACCCTTAAACTAATCCCTCATCCCTGTGCTAAAGTGTAGTCTCTATGCAGAAATAGTATCAGCAAGATCATTGCTTTTATGTCACCGCATTCATAATTACCATTGTATATCTAATTTAAAAATTGTAAAACTTGAATTTCATGTACAATACTGGCTAACCAATACATTGAGCAATTTCATGTTGCTCAAGCGTCTATTTTCATGTGTCTTGTGATGATTTGATAGATTAATAGTTTCCGATCGTACTTATGGTATCGTCGGATATATGAATTGGTACAACGCAATTCTTAA